AAACTAGCAGATTCGACTCAAGAGCCTTTGTTTGCTGATCTATCGGATAAGACATTATAATTGTCACAACCTTCAAGATGACGCAATCGAGATGAAGATCCTCAAGAATGACATGTTCTTCCTCAAATAGATGGTAAGATATAACGCATTTGGTATCACGACCTTGGAAGGGACTCCCGATGTTCGATGATTTTACTAGAGGTAGGAACAACTCCTGATGGTGTTTTAAATATTTTATTGAAGGAAGTTATGAAGGCCTCAACAACAATCAAATAATTGTGTGGTCTTCTCACCTTGGTATGGGACATTATCCATGATTGAGGGGCGCTATCAATCATCTTCGAAGAGAACAAAGATCACAGTATATGGCAAATATAATTCGCTGCATCTTAGACTTTATCAACATGTGATCATTGCTCCTTGTAGAACTCGTGCTTAGAAGAGGGGATAATGTCATGGATATATATTTATTATAATTATTACCTAGGTGATATGAATAAGTAGAAGCAAGTAAAAGTAGATTAATTGCATAATATCTTCTAAAAAAGCCTCCTAGAAGCTTCATAGATCTTGCTTTGACTTTACATGTGTTTATACTTGATTGGTAGGTTAGAAACTTGGTCAAGAAGTTTACCACGTGCCACACATGTTGGTAGCTTGCAAAATAAGCTAACTATGTGGCATCTACATAGAAAAACTTATCTTGCAAGTTAAGATATGTGTTGTATAAAATCAACACGTTTTTGGAGGTCCTATAGAATGTCACTACGTAGCTCTTAGGTAGATAGTATATGTAGAAGCAAGAATGAAGCCTTCTTCACTCTTGTTAACTCCTTTCTTGTTTCTAGTCTAGTTTCAAGGGTCTCTAATTTTCTTGTCTTTTGGCAATAGCCACTCCAATTTCTTTTTTAATATATATATTTAGTTATTTCTATTTTTTCATCTTTCTTTGAGAAAATTCTCACTTTTTTATTTATTTTTATTAAGTTCTTGTCTTTTATAGGTGCTCGGTTTTGTGCCTTAAGATTTGATTTCGATCCAAATTAATAACTGACCTTCTTTGGATATCAAATTTTATCTTTTTGAGTTAATTTTTATTAAAATCAACTCCTAACTTCCTCCTATAAATGTTCATATCCTTTATTTTTCTATTCTACTTTATTTTGCCTTATTTATGGTCCAACAAAGTAAGTAGAAGTCACTTTTCTAAAAAGGCAGCATTACTTCTAAAAGTTTTACTACCTTTCTATCTTTTATTCATATTTTTTTACTTTATATTTTAACTTGGTTCTTTTATAATAAGATCCATATTATCTTCTTTGACCATATAGTCGTGTTATAACATGACAACATATGCCTTGATCTAGATGTCAACAATCCAATGTCAAGTCAAACATGAGAATTTTATATAATACTTGAAATATGTAGCAAAAAAGATCCATAAATATTATGTTGTTGAGGAAGGAGGGAGAGATGGATGGAAAGAGACAATATACCTAGAAAGCTTGTACATGGAACACAATGACCTAAATGAAATTTGTTTTTACATTTGTTTGTTGTGCAAGTGTTTACTGTTAAAATTGGTAGATAGTAGATGTATTATTGATGAATATCAAAGAAAGGAAAGTTGGCATCTATTTGCTTAGTATATTATATGGCAATTGACTCCTTGAGATGTGAAAGTAAAAAGCTCTAAGTTACAAAAGTCAACTTCTACTATCTAGATAATTTGTTACCAATCTAAGGACACCTCCTATCTATGGATCACTTATTTACAAATATAGGGTCTAACTTTCTCTTGTCTTATAGATCCTAAGGAATAATTTATTTGTTGATTTTTACATGAATGTCTTTGATTCTTTGAAGTTGCCTTTATTGCCATGTTTTAATTGCCATTGTGCTTTTGCACCCAATAATGTAAATTATTTGGTATGCGCTTTGAAATCTGGCATCATTTCACTGCCTCTTTACCATTTTTTTCTTCTTCTTCCATCTTATTCCTTCCCTCATTAATAGACTCCATCATTCAAACACACCATATTGGCAATTTTCATATTCCTCATCTATTTCCAAGTATTTTGAACTATGGTAATAATAATAACAAACTCATTTGTAGAACAACATCAATTTATGGACATTCTATATTAAAGATTCGGTGTTTTCAATAGACCAAGTCTTAGCATTGAGTTCTATATTAAATAATATATATATATATATATATATATATATATACATTGATTGATTTTTATTCTGTCACAATTTTGATTCATGGATACAAATAAGAGTTTGATAAAATTATTCATATATTCAACCATTTGAATTTAACAAAGCAAAACTTTGACAAATATTTGTTATGACTTATCATATGAATACGATAAACAAAAATTCATATTTTTTTGAATTTTTCATCAATAGAGACTTTTTAATTGATGATGTGGAATTTTATAATAGAATATTCAACAAAAATTATTGTACTATTTAATAAAAAATAACTTCATTTTTTACTAATTTATTTTTAGTTTTTTATTATTTTTTTATTGTTTAAAAAAACTTTAATAATTGTTTTATTGATAATCAAAGTTAGAAAATAAAAAAATAAAAGAAGTTGCCTTATATTTTATGTCATAATACTTTTTTGTTCAAGTTTCTTCTAGGCATTTAACATTAGTGCAAATTTGATGCATTAACCAATTTTTCAACAAACCTACACACTTTTCACTAAAGTAAATTATTACAAAAAAGAATAACACAATGGCCTCACATGATAATCTAAGTAAAATGTGCACCAAGAGCATCTATATTAGAAAAGATAAATCCTTCTTTTTCAATATATATATATATATATATATATATATACATAAATATATTTATTTAGATATATACACAAACACACATATACATATAAACATACGCTATCATAATACGTGAAGTCTTACTTGAGATTGCTCCAGGCACCTAGCTGTGGAAGGTAGAATGGAAATTGCAACAACAAAATCCTAACTATAATAGAATATTTAGTTAGTATTCTATTAGTTTGATTAGGGTTTGATTTAGGATTTAGTTAGTATTCTATTTAGAATGGAAATTGCAACAACTAAATCCTAACTATAATACTAATTAGACCATAATAATGCTAAGCAAGCTTTAATCAAATTCAAAAAAACCTCAAAGAAATTTCAAAGAAACAATAAGAAATCTTAAAGAAATATTAGAATAATCACAAATATATCTCAAATACATCTCAATTCAATCTTAATTTAATCCTAGTTAAAATCCTATTGGACTTCATTCAAACTTTAGGCCAAATCTAATTAAATCTTAAATCCTAAACAAATCCTAATAAAATCCTAAATCCTAAATCAAATCCTAAATCCTAAATCCTAAATCCTAAATCAAACCCTAACTAAATCTTAAATCTTAAATCAAATCCTAAATCCTAAATCAAACCCTAACTAAACCTTAAATCCTAAATCAAATCTTAAATCCTAAACCAAATCCTAAACCTTAAATCAAACCCTAAATTCTAAACCAAATCCTAACCAAACCCTAAATCAAACCCTAACCAAACTCTAAATGAAATCCTAACCAAATTCTAAATCCTAAACCAAATCCTAACTAAACTCTAAACCTTAAATCAAATCCTAAACCCTAAACCAAATCCTAACCAAACTCTAGTAATTCTCACAACAGATTTAAACCTCAATAACTAATGAATGAACCGTTGATCTTAATTCAAATTTTGTAAAATTCTTAAAAAATAAGTTGAAAACAAGCACAAAAAATTTGAAAAGCATCGGAATTACCAAATAGACGATAACCTCAAAAATGTACTTAGGTATTGATCGGCCTCCTTCTCCAACCTTGATGTCAATCTCCCAAAGTCAATATCTCTCTTTTTCACCATTCAATTGATCTCAAAATTCTCATACACATAGAAAAACAAGTCTAATATCCTCTCACACAAATTTCACTCCAATCCAACTAGTAGAATATAAGAAATCTTAAAAACCCTCACTAGATCTAAAATTCTACTTTCTAAGACCTTGACCCATTTAAACCTCAATAATCCTCAATTCAACCGTTAGATTGAGCTCAAATTCACAATACATATTGAACACAACTATAAACATTAACTTATAAAATTTTCCTCGTAGATCTATTACAAAACTCTTGAAATCATCCAAAACATAAACCCTATTTTATTTCACAAAATCCAAGTCATCCAAAACAAACCTTGACTTTGCAAAGCTCTTACAAAGTCAATACAGATCCAAATCATCCAAAACCAATGCTCATAGAAATCCTATCCAATCTTCTATCAAACCCCACTCTCTGATTTGCCAAAGAATCTCGAAGTCATCGTCAAGACTTGATTTTGTGCCTCAGGGTCTGATTTCGACCCTAGTTCATAACCAGCCCTCTCCGGGTATCAATATCTAGTTTTTCTAAGTAAATTTTGCTAGAATTTACTCTTAACTTCCTTCTAAATATGTTTATATCATTTATTTTCCAATCTACTTTGTTTTGCCTTATTTATGGCCCTATAAAGTAAGTAGAGGTCACTTTTCTAAAAAACAGCATTACTACTAAAAATTTTACTACCTCCCTATCTTTTATCCATATTTTTCTACTTTATCTTTTAACTTGGCTCTTCTATAATACGATCCATATTATCATCTTTCACCATATAGTCATGTTACAACACGACAACACCCGTATAAATATTAGCAAGCAGTACTTGGTCATAGAAGAAGGTCAGAATCGAAGTTAAGAGACAAATTTATTTATTTATTTATTTATTTTGTTTGTTTGTTTGTTTGATGTGTTTTTAATATAGTTCCTGTGAAGGGGGGATTTTAGTCAATTTCCATTTGGATTGATGTCCCGGTGGCGGAGGAAGTCCCCCATCCCCGGTGCCGGATATTACGACGGCGCCGCGAAGTTGGCGTCGCTAATCCCAACCCAACAAACAGTCCAATTCGACGCTGGGTCCGCTGATTGATTGATCGTTCACTTCTTGCGATCGTGTCCACGATTCCCCGAACCGACACGGTGACGCAACACTCGCCTCACCTCGTGCTAGAACCGATTACCCAGAACAAGAACTACTGTTCTGTTCTTTTCTTAAACCCCGAAACCCTAATTCACGAGGTTCGCACATTTACTGCCAGCTTCTGGTTCCTCGAGTGTGTGAGATAGAGGTTTTGTAGCATTTTTTTGTGCAGTGGGGGGCTATGGGGACTAGGGCGCTTGGCAGATTGGCCAATTCTTCGCACTGGAATCGATCCCTTGCTTCTGCCTTGCTGGGATCGCGTGAATCGTCGTTTCGGTCGGGAAAGTCTCTGAGCTCGTCTTATCCTGTGCTAGGTTCTGTCTTCCGACCTCGTTTTCAATTCCCTGCATTTTGGTTGTGTGTGAATGGTTTTGTTTCTCTTGGATTAGAGATGGAGAAATGCCCTTGCGGAAGTTGAGCTTTGCGAAAGCGGGTAATTAGTGTGCGAGAACCAAGAGATAAGCTTGAATTTTTATGGACTTCAATAACTCAACTTTTTTTAGTTTGATTTTTTTGGTGAGTGAGGGGTAAAAATTCAGATTAAGAAAAAAGAAATAAATATATCATGACCCTTATATGTTGATGTTGAGGTGGATTTTTGGCTAATGGACTTGTGTGATGCGATTTGGAGAAAATCATGCTTTCTTCTTTACCAATCGATGGACGATCGATGAAAAGGGCTTCGTTTATTTTATTTTTTTTCACGCATAATCCTGTATATCTGAGCGAAACTTTGGATTTGCAGGGACTACTGCTGGGATTTTCACCTCAACAGACGTGGTCACAAATCAGTCATCTTTTGGAAGGATTTGGGTCTACTTGATCTCAGGTAGTTCCAAACATTTTTAGAATTTTGCTTTTCAAAGGATTTGCATTACTGAATAGAACCAATGCTTAGACGTCTTGTACCTACAAAATCATTGTTTGTTCGATCCAAATTTGTGTTTATTGACAGTATCTCGAGGGTTTTGTATAGCTTGTCGTCAATCATGCTGCAGTTGGATTTGGACGAACTCTTACCGTAATCACAATAAGCAAGTGCCCACATTAGAGCCTGGGCCTGCATGCTGATGTCTCTGGATTTTGCTCAGGAGTTCTTTCATGGGGTGGAATACATACTAGTTTGGCTGAGGAACTAAGTGCACGACCATCAACTGCTGATAATATGGAACAGGAAGTTCAACTTGTTGAAGACAGCCTACAATCTTCAAACCAAGCTTCCAATCCTCATACTGCAAGATGGAGGATCTACACTGACATGGGTCGCGACCTTTTCTCTCAGGTCAGAATTTTTCACGTCTTTCAATACGAGTCATGTTATCTTGAGTATTATTTTGTTAATAAGAAATTTGAGGATTAACAACGAAGCCTGGCTTTGAAGATCGAGACCATTTTTCTTGGATTTGAAGATAGAGGGGTTAGTTCTCATGTATCCTGTTCTACGTCTCTTTTTGGCTTTCCATTGGTGCATTGAGAATTGATTACTGATTCACCACTTTGCATCTCAGCCTGTTAACTGAGAACTTTTATGATTTATGAGTTGTGTAAGACTTTAAACCTCATAAATCATTAGACTTAAAATTCGTTTATTTGCTTATTTGTTCCTCAGGGCCGTCTCGACGAGGCTGAGAAGTATTTTGTACGAGCTTTGGAGGAAGCCAAGAAAGGCTTTGGAGATCGAGATCCTCATGTTGCATCCAGCTGCAATAACCTGGTAAGCATTTTGTTAGCAGTGAACAAATCAGCTTGCTAAGGAAGGGGGTCCATGTACAAATCGACTTCCTCTCAAACTAGTAGCATGTTTTCTTGCGCAGTTACAATAATGTCAATTTAAGACAATTGTAGTGCTTGGCTCGAGGTAACAGCTTCGTTTTGAACATTGGTTGCATATTGCAATCACAAGTATCCAAATCGACCGATTGTACTCATTACTTTGATTGCGCGTGTTCCTTACATTAAGTACGTCAATCGTTTGCTTGGTCAGCATTTAAACCACGATATAAATTCTGATAATCTTACCTATCAGGCTGAGCTGTACCGCATGAGAAAGGAGTATGCCAAAGCAGAGCCTCTCTTTTTGGAGTCTGTGCAGAGGCTTGAACAAGCTTTGGGTCCTATGCATGAAAGGTAAGGTCCTCTTGGTTAGGTTTGACCTTGTGTGAGCATTTTATGTACAAACTGTGGGGTGTTGTAATAACTTCTGCAGGCATTCAATGTGCCTGTGTTGTTTTGGAGGGGCTGTTGATGGTGAGAGTCCCAGTTGTGGTTGGATTTAGACATAAATTGACGGACTAAATAGGTGCTCTTGCATGGTTCAACTTTTACAGTGTGGCGTTTGCGTTGCACAACCTTGCTGGGACTTACTTGCAGCAACACAATTATGAGCTGGCTCGGACATGCTATGAGGTGAATTGACTAACTTAAACTGAAAGTGATGAGATTCTTCAGCTTGGAAGTTGTAATCCAGATTTGTTCTCTAACTATGTCAATAGATAGTCCGTGAAGGTCGAAATTTATCCGATCATCGAAACCTCAAGCTTCCTCTCTTCTAGGAATTACTCAGTTCAATACCTGCTATTATCTTGAGATTTCAATATTTCTTAAGACACCAAGCCTTAGTCAACTCGCTTATCCAAAAGACGTCAGTGATGTGTGAAAAGTTTGATCTTCCAAGCGTTTAGACAGTGGATCCGTCTTTCTTTACTTGACAGTGGTGGCGGTTTGGTTTTTGGTACATGATTCGATGAATGTTAACATCTACAGCGCTCATTGAAGGTGCTCTTTTCTCTCTCTCTCTCGCTCTTTCGTTCTGCAGTTTGGTTACTTCGTATATTCTTCTGCAGTGTTCTTCCATGATGATTTCTAGTTGTAATTAATGTGATGATGGGTGTCAAGTTGTTTTCTTTTCTTGTTTTGTGTTCTTCTCTATCTGAAAATGCTCGTCATTCGTGGGCGCCATCAGATTAAGGAAAGGAAGCTTGGACCTAATCATCCAGAGTACGCTAATACGATGTTTCATTTGGCAGAGGTTTGTACTATCGTCTTTCATGCGACCAATCTTGTTATGGATACCATCTTATTATTCTTTTTCAGTTTTACTTCTTCGCCCTCAGATTCTTGAATATTTTAGTTTTTCATGGTACCTTTTCCTTTTTCGCTCATTTTTGTTCAGCAATGCTACTAGAGTTAAAAGATGTTTTCTAAGGTACAAGAGGTTGTACTATATTTGTTTTTATAGATACTCTGTTCTTTTGTTGGTGTGACGTAATCATTGTCTTTTGTTGGTGTGCTGTAATCATTGTCTTTTGTTGAGCCCTTAGTCATGATTTGATTTTGCATTGAAGGGTAAGAGTACTTATTTACTTATTTATTAATTTTTTAATAATTTGGTTTGGTCGGAATTAATGGACCCAAGGCCTTGAAGTACTCGCTCATTACAGGGGTGATGAAAACTGTTTGTAAATGATTATGGTAGGTACTGCGGCTTCAGGGCAATAACGTGGATGCAGAGCATCTGATTCGTGATTCTTTGAGAATACTTGAGGTCTGCACCTTTCTACCTGTAATGTAATTACAAATGTATTTAAACGTGGGTTTCTTGAAAAGTATTGCATACACGTGTCATGATTTAGTCATATGAGGAGCAGCTTGGTGATGAAAACAGTGATTACATAGGTCAGAGGTCTTAGTTTTTGCTCTTTATATTCACTAAACAGTTCATGAAATCCAGGAGGGTGGAGTTGGCCACTCGCAACAAGCTGTGCGACGTATGAGCCGTCTTGCAGAAGTAAGTGATCTCGTCTACAACAACGACCTGACATGATTGATCCTACCGCTTACTTTTTGTGTTCTTTCCATGTTGGTTATGATAGTGGTCAATATATTTTTAATTGCCATTATCGCCAGAGCACTAGTTTAGAAATTACCATTATTTGAGATCAGACATTAGTATGCATTATTTAGTGCTGAAGTTATTTCAATTCTCATTGTTGGATGCGACAGGAATCTGGAAGTCCACACGATTTATTTCTTTACGATGGTTTACTGTAACTTTTGCTGCCTTCGTATGTTGAGTGAAGAGACGATATGGTGAAGAAACAGGTCTTACACTTGTAGTTTTTTGTGGTAGTAAAGAAGGTATGCTTTTGAATTTTCTCAAGAGCATGTTCATTGATAAGAGTTTAATGTTCTGGTATATGCAGATACTGGTCCACTCTGGCAAGTTGCAAGAGGCAGAAATCCTCCAGCGCAAGATTCTTCATATTCTTGAAATGCTGCAGGTGCTAGTTTTATAGGTTCCAGCTGTCATGTCATCATTTGTGTGTGATAGTTAGACACCTGCTCGCTTAATCACGCTTAAGGAATCTGCCTATTAAACTTATGTTCATGTTGGATATTCTATGGTGTCACAACGTGAACTTTCAAATCCCTCCTCACACGATGATTCTTTCCCCTCAGTACAATTCCCCCTCTGCTTCGTTTGAATGATGGACAGTGACTATGGTCCTGACTCTGGTGATTGTGTATTCTTAGATTTACCTTCGTTTAATTTTGCACATCATGACGTTTCAGGGTTTTGTTGTAGCAGGGGCCTGAAAGTCTCAGCACAATCACAGCAGTTGATAATTTGGCCACAACCTTACAAGCCTTACGGAAACTGGATGAAGCTGAAGAACTCTTTCTGAGGTGATCCACCTTTTTCTACCAAATTCATCACGGTTTACGCATGTTTCACATCTATGCAGAGATCACTACTTAGTAGTCAAATGCTTGACTAAATATCCTTGAGCTCTTTTTGAGTAGAATCTGATGTGCTCATCATGCATTCACATGTATTCACCTAGTTGTGAAATGATTCTGAGCGTGATGTTCAGATGTCTCCAAGTTCGACAGAAGGCGCTTTCTTCAACACACATCCTGGTATTGACCATTTAATCGTGTTTAAGATGCATTAGTGGATTTCCCTGATGTTCAAGAATCTTAATACGTTTAATTACATGATGTGTTCTGGTGTGTTCTGGTGTGTTTTGCCCTTTCATATTGTTCAGGTTAACAATACAACTATTGGGTCAATTTGCATTTATTTTTTTTATCTATATATTTTTTCTTACATGCTGGTTTCGTCTATGTTTCATTTTGCTCAGGTAGGATCAACATTGTTCAAATTAGCAGTGGTCACTACCCAGCAGGCCGACGAAATGGTGGCAGACAAAAGTCGTAGCGTGGAAGAAGCTCGAATGGCATATGAGAGGGCTGAGGACATGCTCCGTCAAGCAATTAGGTATTGGGCAGTCACATTAAAAGTTCACCAATTCTCTTCATGCATGTAGTTTCTTCTCAGCCATTCCGTCAAGAAATTTAGCTTTTTAGGACTTGTATGGTTCTTATTATCTCTGAATATCTTTGGTGGCAGAATTGCAGAACAACGATGGGAAGAAGCGTTAGGAGGAGTTGCAGCTGCAGACCAAGCTGCATCTGCAATGTTGGGCACTGACGTCAGTTTAGGCCCTAAAGCTCTCAACACACTTATTCCACCTCTTCTGGCTCTTGTAAGTTTTCCGGACTCTTCTAATATATCCCTTAAATTTTGCATTAGAATTTATCGCTGGAAGATGCTTTTGATTGATGTTTTGATACAATAGCTGGTTTCTCCCTCGAGAAAAGTGTTCTTTAAGATGGAGTGTCGCCGCTTATGTTTGTAATTCTATCAACCATGTACTGCATGTTCTCTTGGGAGTTAGACATGGTGTTATTTTTTGTTGCTTTACCCCATTTGCTGGATATTTTAAGCACAATATTTAGAAATTTTCTTGGTGGTTGGTGCAGGTACGATCGTTGAATGCGCTTGGTATTGTAGTTATGCATCTTGCTGATTTAGCTGGTTCCCCTGTGGTAAGAGTCTGTTATCTGTTCCATGATCTTAGATTATAGAACCTAATCTGTGTTCACTGCTTTTGAGTCTCTTCCATGTATTTTGCGTTATCCTACATACAGTTTCTGCTTACACTTTTAACATAGTTTTCTTCTTTATTTGTGTCATTTATTTCACTCTTCTGTGTATGGAGTTGAATATGATGGCAATGTGGTTTCATATTTGAAGGCTGCAAAGGAAAGGACTCAAGAGGCTGAACGTGTTCTACGCCACTGCTTGACATTACTTGACAAGGTACACCATTAATCTTGATTAAGTGTTTCTCGGCAAACATTCTGTGTTGAAGCCTCTGTTGGTTGCAAATTTTTATGGAGTTGCTTGATTATTTTTTGCATTTCATGAATTTTACATTGTGATACTTCGGTATTTGCAATCAGACGCAATTTTTTAGCGGTTTCCTGATGTTGATGGACCTGGAGAAGCGAACTGTTCTTGCTTGTTTTTAAAAGTAGCCTTTTAACTCCAGGTATATATGTTCCCTGATATCGTTAAATACTTGTGATCTGTACCGATAAATGTACTTGTTACCTATTGCAGCCACCTGGAATAGCACAGGACCTTGTTGAAGTTCCTGAGTTGCAGAGGGAATATGTGTCATGCCTCCATCATCTAGCGGCACTGCTTGTGAGGACAAAAGACCAGGGCTCAAGTGAAAATAACAAGTCAGCAGAGGAGCAAGCCGCAAGGCTGCTGAGTAGAGCAGAAGGTATTGAAGCTTCCCATGCAGCCCGAATACAAGCAAATCTTTCCAATTGAGGGTAAATGAAGTGAAAGCACTGCTTTATGCCGCACTTCTTTGCGCATGCCTTGAAACAAGTGCAATTTTGGGAACTCTTTCTCGTTCAATTTATGAACAAATTTTGGTTCCAAAGCTAGAATTTTGATCTAGTAAATAAGGTTAATAGTTCAGTAGCCCTTGTAGCTTCAATATTGCAACACACACAGGAAAGCACCCCACAAAGAAGCACATGTTATGCTGATCCGAGGTTTATCATTACCTGTTGAGAGTTGTGGAATGGATGTCACAAGCTTTGAAACACAGGCTCGAGCAAACATTTTCCAATCTAGCCATGGTGAACTGCTTCTTTTGCACTCAAATATGCTCTCTTACACACTCTAATTTTTGTTAACATTCGAGTCAAAGAATGATGGGCTTACTTTATAGTCTCGGTACTTTACTTAGGCTTCGTATGTTTCTGGTAGAATCAATATTTCGTTACTTATATTAAACATCTTCAGTATATACCAGAAGCAGTCCAAAGCGAAGCTGGAGGGTTTAGAAGATCAACATTCGCTAGAGACTCAAAGTTTACGGCCTCAATGATATCAAACAGCTGTTTTGTATGTGTACCAATTAGCTACTAGAATACAGAATACGAGGTTGATGATATCCATAGTTGCCAAAAGCCAATAGTACTTGTCAATGCGGCATTGGTTCAAGTAGTCTACAATCCAATCACCTTTCTTGCCACTTGTTACCGAAACAGCAATTGTTATAATCCCAGTGCATATAAAATGCCCAATTGCCGTGTTGGTTGTATAGAGAGTTGTGCCGATGCTTTGCATGTCATCAGGCGCTTGGTCATAGAAAAACTCGATTTGACTTATGATGACAAATATCTCGGCAACTCCAAAGATGTACTGCGGGAGGTGCCAGAAAGCACTCACGGAAACGGGCACTTTTGGGTTGTCTTCAAGGCCATGTTCTTTAATCACGTCCAAGCATTTGATCTCAACTATCGCTGCTACGACCATCGCAACAGTGGTGAGAGCAAGTCCTACGTCGATGCGTTGGAGCATAGAGATACCTCGTTCGTTTCCAATGATTCGGCGAATTAGGGGAACAAAATACTTATCGTAGATAGGAATACATTATACTGCAGTTAAGGAGTTGAAAGTAGTCAATGAGGCGGCAGGGATTTTGAAATAGGGTCCCATCGACAGGTCTATACTCAGACCTTGACAAAGAAAGAACAAGGAGATCTATGTAATGTGTACCATGAACATTAATGAGAAGATCCAGATGGGCATGACACGTACCAACAACTTAACGCTGCGGAGTTGCAATGGATTCTCTTTCGAGATATTCTTCTCAGAATCATTAGCATCAGCATAGCTTAAAGTTGTCTCTATCGGATCAATCACTGCAGCTTTGTCAAGGAACTTGTGTTTAGGGTTGCAGCAATATATCAGTTTAACAGGTGCGACATACATTCTCTCACAACACAAGAAAAGAAACTCTACTTGAACCACTGTCTCAGAAGAGGCTATTGTTATCTTGTGACTGGTCTCTCACTCTCAAACACAATTTGCTGAACTTGTACAACTGGTTCAACTTGCGGAAAAAAACATCAATATGAGTGGATGCACCTCAATGTGTTGGTGTGAAGAACATTTCTTTCCTTTAATATTGACATCATAGAGCATGCTTGGATGAGCTGGAAGAGCTTTGTTCGAATTGAGAAGCGCAGCTGTGCACACCTGGGCAATCTTTGTCAAGGGGCTTCCGACCGGTGGTTGGTAGCAGTATTTGGGTAAACCACACAGCAACAACAGGAGAGCTCTGCCTACACCAAAGGCAAGAACTGCAAAGCCCCATCTCCACGAAACATTTTTTTTGCACATAGACAAGTAGTGCATTTGAAGGAATACGGAGGTCAATCAAACCACTCAAAGATGAAAGTTCTCAGTATTTATCCATGCAAAAGATTTGGGAGTAGAAAGATGGAAAATCAAGGTAGCCATTCTGCTACCAAAGTACATCAAAGTGCGTACCAGAAAGAGTGAAGACACTCCCCCCGGCAACGGCGATTCTCCAATAGTTGAAGAACAACCGCTTCATCCGCTTCTCTTTTTTGTCATCCTCATTGAACTGGTCGGCACCGAAGGGTGACACACAAGGTGATATACCACTGATGCTAATGGCTATCACGTAAAGTGCTAGATAAAAAATACTCTATTATGTTTTCGTTGCAGGCGTACAATTCACAAGTGTAGGACATGGGGGTGGTCGCAGTCCATCGAGCAACATGGACAGTGACAGAAGAACAAGACCCTGAAATTCAACATGTACATATTGTGCATAAGCGTCATTGACGACGATCATTTAGAGGCTGCTTCCATAAGCTCACTACTGAGGATTGCATAGTAAAGACTACACTTGAGGATTAGAGATTTGCTTTACACTAGATAGATGATGTCAAACACGCTGATCATGTAGAACCGGCCAACATATGCATCTGCCACGAATCTTCCAAGCAATGGCAACACCCACGCCGCACCTACCCAATTGAAGACCGTTGCACTTGATTTTTCAATGCCTTGGTGAAGTACTTGGACCAGATATGTTACCAAGTTGAGAGCAATGCTGTAGTAAGCGGCTCTCTCTAAAAGCTATACTCCTACGAATGAATTCCATCAATAAGACCACAATCATCTTCAACTATCTTCATGGGAAACATGTGGCAAGATTTTCCAAAGAGATTCAGGATTTATAAGTAATGAAATTTGGTTCAAATTCTAGAAGGCACTGATTGCTGAAATTTAGCTTACGGCGTGTACCCATAATGAAGTAGGCAGCTTTCCATTGCCTCGAGGTTGATTTTCTGGATGGTCTTCTTCGAATATCAACCGAGACATCGCCAACCAAATTGTATTCATCAACTTCAAACGGCTGGTTCGTGGAAGAAAATAGGCGATCCATCATTATCCTGCTATAAAAACCTGAATCATAATAGCCATACGAGGTGAGAAAAATGAACAGTGCTCCATGTTATCTGTGAACCTTTGAAACAAGTCTTCCGCTCAACATAGTCCACCCAAAAATGCGAAATAAACAATTTTCACAAATTTTGCATAAGGCACCAAAGGTAATGGTATTTACTCTTTCTCAAGTTGTGCGGCATAGCCTGCAACTCTGCTCAAGAAGTTAAGTGTCTTCTATACTGGCATTAAGAATTGAAGTTGCGATCGTAGTCAGTCAGGGTTCGGAATTGTTAGAACTAGACACCTAGAAATCAGGATATTGCTCTATATTCACTCGCAGGCGTATAGATCACGACCCCCAGAGCCTTGTCATGTGGTACTCTCTCGCAATGATACTCGTCCCAAGCCATTATAAAGTTATTGAAATTCTACCTCATCCAACTTTCAAGGCGGTTTGCCATGTTGGGTGATTCGACTCGAAAAAAGCAATTCATAATTGCCATTTAGGACATTCTCAGCTTCTAAACTTAGCAAACATTTTGCATTGATGCGGGTCTGAAAAGACGCTAAAGCAAATAGACAAACAAATGAGCGAAAACAGCAATAGATTCTCCGTTTGAACAGAGTGCTCTCATGAACAGAAATGACGTGAACGTCTAGGAGTCTCCTGGAGTGACTATGAGGTATGCAGTAGCACTTGTCGTTCCACAAGATGTTACACATTAAGGTTTACAATTTCAATGATCCCAACAAGGTCGACTAGAAAAGGGCAGCCAAGGAGAAAAACCTACCTACTACACTCCTTGAAGATAGTACTTACGGAGCACATCGGTAAAAGGAGTCGAGGTGAGGTCGAAGCCACAAGTAAACACAAAGTTGATGTTGCTGCTATTTACATGTGCATGCCAAATCAAAAAATCAGCGCCACCCCATCCGTGAAATCCATGTTACACCTGTTTTAAGATGGGACAACAATTTTGGTAACTTTTGGATAATTTCCTCTCTTTTCGCTTACGTGACCGCAATTCTCACAACAAAGGTAAAGTGGAGGGGCTCATCCAAATACCAAAGGTAAAGATCGGACACATCTCGACCACATGAACAACATCGACTTTAAACGACCATGAAGTCTTCCAAAGCACATGGCCCATGGGATTCATTTGGACTTGACAATCTCCTGCTGTCTCTCAAAGAGATACCGTAATCCTTTATAAGCGTAAGATAACTCTGTGAACCAGCCTTCAAATATCATGCCTTAAACCAGACCCAACGTGCACCATTAATCTGAGCGACTCAGATCAATCCACACTTTATCGCTGACTATGCAAGACTTTTATAAATAGAAGATATCTCGGATCGCTCACTTACACTATTCATAAAGATGCAGTGTAAACTATGCAAGTGAGTGCAATCTCTGGATTCTCGAGGAGCAATTATTTCTAGAAATACGAGATTTACTTAAGAAATCACGTTGGAAGTGAACAAAGATACACCATAGAAAGGAAAACTACCACATACGCTTTTCTGCGTAACCAGCCATTGACAGTGAGTAATTTCGCAACCGGCAAGTCCAAAAGCACGTAGAGTTATCTACAAACCTGCTCAAGAGCTCTCTGTCAAGAATGATCTCGTCACAGGGACTGCAGCATCATAGTCACGATTAGCGATGGTGCTCATCAATCCAAGCCCAACAAAAGAAATTAATTGACATCCGATTCTTGTGTCCCTGAGCACATGGCGTTGCTGTAGGATTCCTATGGTGCGCTTATCAGAAACTTTCTACCATTCCACGGCGGCCTCTACGTAATACCAGGTGGCTTGAAGCACCTGAAGCACGAGCAACTGAACTGCAGGACAGGACTCGTCACGCCATACTTGTGCTTCTGCAGCAACTGAGGCACTTGCCGTGTTTGCTCACAGAAAATAATGTCATGCAACAGAATGAGTTTTGCCCCATGAGTTGTATTTTTCTTTTGCAAACCAAAATAATCTTTAACTCTGTAGATATGTATATATACACACATTGAGTATTCTGCAAATTGCTGAACAGAGTTCTCAATTGCCTCGTTGCAAGGTGAGGTGTGTTATTGGTGTTACTTTTGTAGAAATTCAACTGATTGTGATGAGCTTCGGTTGAAGGGTGTGAGGAAATATTGATTTATTTCGAATAAAATTTGGTAAATTACTACAAGAACAGATCAAATTGTATGATGTATGGTGCATATTATGAATTTCTTTTTAAAAGAATGCTTCTGTTGCCAAGAGGATAAATGAGCTCCTAGAATAAAACCTCTGTTGCTAGGAAGGTAAATGAGATCGTAGGATAAAGCCTGTGCTGCCAAGAAGATAAATGCGATCCTAAAACAAAGCCTGTGTTACAAAGAATTTTAAAAAAAAATAATAAATAAATAAGATATATATATTCTGATTGTGTAAACATTGTGGCAACTCTCTTAACACTTCCACCAAAATTTAGCAATTATTATGTATAATTAGTTGTGTGAATATTAATCATTATTTTAAATTAGTGCTCAATCAATATTCCAACTTTCATGGTCATCATCTAACATACTGAACAATTTTGATTATATATACGATTCAATTGATGTCTAAATTTTTTGAATAATATTGTTATATTTTTTACCTTATTGAAATTTGAAGTATAATTATTTTATTATTTGTTATGTAGAATGATTTTATTCCTTTGGCATTAAATCTTATTCTTTATTATAATAGTTGATAGATAAAAAAAATATCTGTTTATTGATTGCACTCATTTTTAATTTATGTATAAAACAATTCTTTTTGATAGAGTATCATATACCAACTAGTTAAAGAAAAATTTGGCTTATTTATAAAAGAAGAAGTATCAAAAGGAAACAATCTAAAATAATGAAATAAATCTTTTGCATAAATTTCTAAGCCATAAAATAATAAAGTAAACAAAGATTATAATTCATTCATTAATCTTGTATATAAGAAGTCCATCCATATTAAATAATTTGAATCTATTAAATACGATTATTCTACACATTTTTTACCTCTCAACTCATTTATAGAATCTAAATTAAATTTCTTCTTTGCCTCCATCCATAGTAGGCTTAATTGAAACTAAAATCACAAAGTATGTTAAAAATTTCTAAGTTTGATTTTGTACATAAGAACCTTGGCATTAAGTTGATTTGAGATATAAAATGCTCGTCTGTAAGCCATAGTAGGTACTTAAGAATTAAGATATAAAAAACAAAAAATAATGCTTAAAGTTTTCAATTATAATTTTAATGTATTTTTAAAAATTAAAGTATTTTTTGATCTTAAACTAAAGGAAGTTGAATAAACATAATTTTTTAGTTATAATAATTTTTAGCTCTTATCTAATTTTTATTGTAATAAGGGTGGTTTTTAGATTAATTAGCTTGTGATTCTAATTGAAAATAGAGTAACCATCTTTTTATAATAAGATAATTTTTCTTATATAGATATCTTTGTTTATTTATAAAAACATTATTGTAATTCTTTGGATGATGCATGTTGTCTTCAAAGATCCATTCTATATTAAAATAGAATAAATAGTTGATGCCAAAATTATAGAGGCAATAATAAGAAATCTTCTTATAAAGTAGATACATGTAAACAAAAAGGCCGTTCAAGAGACCTATCAATAGACGTGACTTTGCACAAAACAACCATGTGAAGAGTTCAAAGCTTGGAGATGAAGCTCAAGACGTTGTCATATTCACATCGCATAACCATGTACAAAATGCGTCTCGGCGGAGCCTTACGCGTCACAACTCTCAACAGTACCCACACACGGATCACTCCATCTTTACACTATGTGTATAGTCTAGGTGGTGAACTTGGTCTCGTCGATGCCGCGACCGGCAGCCTCGGCAGCGCCTCCACTGGACATGTCAGTTGTAGCAGAGCCTCCCTTCTTGCCCATCTCTACGTATCCTTCATGACCCAGCTGCTCCGCACGAGCTTGCCCTCCTTTGCTGCGGCCTGCAGGATAACCAACAAAGGGTCACTTGTTAATGCGGTTCTGCAGTGCAGCAAGCGCCAATGTTGCACCAAAAAGGTTAACAATCAGCAGTCATGAGGGCGATCACACAGCTGAGGAATGGAGTTGTCGGAATGAGATCCGAGACTTCACCTTCTGCAAGGTTCTTCTGAGCTTGAAAGGACCTTCCGCCAGTGCCTCCGGGCACCACCGTCTCTCCAGCGGCGGCCTTGGCGTCAAGATCTTCCTGGCTCGACATGATGACTGTCTACAACGGCTTTGCACACAAGAAGTGTGCCTCAGAAACAATCTGCAACTATCTCTGCGTACGAGCTGAAAATGTACAAACTACAACGGCTTTGCACACAAGAAATGTGCCTCGGAAACAATCTGCAACTATCTCTGTGTACGAGCTGAAAATGTAAATGGAATGATGGAAAAGCAGTGAACGACAATGTGAAAATGTGTAAAAGCCTGCAATTTATAAGGACAAATAGTAGCCGCCTTCTAACGTCGACATCTAACGATTGAACACGTGCACAGTGAAAGAACTGCAACCCCTGAGCATTCGAGTGTGGTGGAATGTGAATTTAGGTACAAGTGTCCTTGACTGTGGCATGCAGCCGGATTTGACGTTTTATTAAACTGGATTAGGTTTTGTTTTTCTTTGCATGCGTTTTCGACATCTGGCTAGTCTGTTAAGTTTTCTTTTATTTCCTAATTAGGACAGCTTTTTCCCTATTTTCTATCTCACTCCTCATTAAAGGACAGCTAGCGTGCTTGATAAAAATAAGTATGGTGTGACGGAGGTTGCCTCATTGCATTCATTGGTTCAGAGCCCAATGCACTTGCCTGTATTCAACCATGGAATCAAAAATCTAGAGGTTGTTTGGCACCGAAAGTCCTTGGAGATGAAAGGTTTTAGGAATTTTAAGCCTGAAGTATTCAATTGCAATTGTTGAAAAATTGATTTTCAACTCGCCTCATTGTTTAGAGACATTCTAAAAGGTGACTCTGATAAACTTAGAACCAATTTAAGATAACTTTGCGTCACCTTTATTTCCAGATAGTGTATCAGAAGCAATTGCATGCGTTCCAATTCGCATCCGATACAAAGCACCCATACGAAGTGATGTGGTGATTAAATTGTTGCGAATGTACAACATAATCAAACTCAACTATTACACAGCATTCAAATGTCGAGCAGGTGACATGATTTCATGGCCGAAGTAATCAAATCTCTCAAATATCGATGTTTTCGAAGTTGTTCAATGTATTGTCTCGTCAGCTGAGGCCTATCAGCGACGTGAATGTGATCGTGAGGGGTGATGCTACGTTTAACAAAGATTCAACTGGGTATCAAGCAACCGTATAATCTTCAGGTGTCATCAGTTCGGATCCAATGCGATCATGAGTTGTGTTCGCGGAGCATCCTAGTATAATCAGAGCGAGAAGGTTAGCCAACTGATTAAAACCAATTAAGACGTGAATGGTTCCATGAACATATGAAATGCGTTTTGCAGATTCCCTTGACGCTATGTTACAACCTCACAGATGAGCCCAACAGAGTATACTGAGAGGAAGTAAAAACTGAAATCGTGGTGACAACTCGCCATAACACAAACGCGGACGACGTCATCACTGCAAGCAATCCGATCTTCATGCAATCGATGCGTGGGGGAAAAGGCACTCCCAGAGTTCCTTGCATGTGGTGTCATGCAGAGCCGAAAGGGTGACAAGTGTGAGTGGAATTAAGAGCTCACCAGGTGAGCAGACAATTACTTCTGATTTAGCAGGTCCAGGGATCTTGGTATCAATAACCAAGTGTCCACAGCTATCCATTTCCAAAACGACACCCTAGTCACACCATAAGTGCCTGGCGTGCTTCGTTGCTATGGAAGACAATTGTCTAGAAAGCTTCTCTTCACAAGACACACCATCTCCAGCAACTTATAGAAAGATGGAATTAAATGAAGGAAAATTTTGGCAACTAATTTCATTTCAGACCTTGGAAGTTGCGAGTCCTTCACTGATGCAATCCACCTGAAGCCTGACTGGAATTCTATTCTACCTGGAATGGATTCGTGGATCTGAACGAATGGACTTTTCCATGAGAAGAATGTTATCTAGGATATAGAACTTGAGTTTTGTTGAATAATTGTCTAGATTTGTAGACTCACAATGTATTTGTCTGGACTATGGATGAACAACATCAATTGCCATAGTGTGAGAAACCAAGTTGTTGCCTCAATTTTAATGAAAAATAGAGGCTTAGACAGAGATGCTTAAGACATTCCCATTGAACTGGAACCTATTTAGTGGCGCTACATTTTATAACGAGCCCGTAATTGCATAATATCACATAAGTAATGCAACAATTGTTGAAATGCAGATTGAAACACAGTGAGAGTGGAAAAAGGAGGGAGGCGGGGTTTAGAAAATATCCTCTTAAAATTACATATAGCCCCATCTTTTTCAATAGAAGTTAGACCAATGTGATGTCTCTATCTTAGATTTTAGATGGAGATCAAGGAAAGGTAGGAATAATGGTACATAGTAGTGGACTTTTGTGTATAGAAAATTGGATCATGTTTAGTATGCGTGTCTCATGTGATGGTAATAATGATTTGAAAAATTTTTCCATTTGGTGGTGCTTTGTATTTTGATACCTCACGTTGCAAAAGTATTATGTCAATGCTATCCATAATGTTTATAATAAAAAAGAGCATATTATATAAATTACAAGAAAAATAATATATTGTTTTTAAATTACAATGATTTATGATTGCATTGTTATAATATAATTTTTTTCCTAATAAGTTTTTGGCATTAAAATGATTGATGATTTTTTTATGATATACCAAGGATTGCATGAGTTTTGTATTGGAATTTATACATCATACATGCTAATTTTAAATTTTGAGCAAGATAAATTTTATGTATTGCTATTTATTTTTAGTGTGGTTAATATTTTCTACATAAAAATATAGTACTTGAACAATTGACTTCCTATCTATTAAAAAAAATCCTAAATTTGATTATTAATGTAATAGTATTTTTTTAGAAGTTGTATTTATACTTTCTATTCCAATGCTAACTTTTGATATGTGTATTGTGATGATAGTTATAATAAATCTTTTTTTCTAATCTTAAGTAACTTCTTCACTCAAGCCATCATTTTATATTGCTAACTTCTAATTTAGTCCTTAATAATTAATTAACATCACTCTTATGTATAAAGAAGCACTTCTATTACAATATAGATAATTAAATTTAACTTTTGTGTAACAATATTGGCTATATAAAAAATTAAATTATATTAAAGAATAGAAGATGAAATAAGATAAAATATATTATATAATATAACTGAAATTTATTCTTTGTACATACACTACAAGAAAAAAGTTTAAAAGAACATAAAAATATTTAATATATTTTTTCACTGCCCAATGATATCAAATTACATAAATTAGATTTTTTAGTTTTTTTTTTGTATAAATACTACCTTACATATTGCCATAATATATAGTATTTTTGTACATTGTTAATTATTATATTGTATGCTTAAAACAATTAACATCCTATTGCATAAAAATTAAAATTAAAAATTATAGATCTTTTAGCTATGTTGATTGGTATGTATTTATAACTTTATATATCATAAAAGATGATAATGTAATTATATTTTATATTTAAAATGTTTAATCTATTAAGTATAAACTATATCAATGCATTTGATAATATACTAGAAAGAGTTCTAGGGTATGGACATCTAATAGAAGATTTTAGAAAGATTTTTAGAATATTCTAAAAGGTTCTAGAAAAATTCTTAGAATATTCTAACAAATTCTAAAAAGTTTTAAAAAGATTAAAGAAGTTGTTTGAGAAGCTTTTTAGAGTTGCTTCGTCTTCAAGCAACATAGAAACTTCTTGAGAAGCTTAGTAGAATTGTTTCATCTAAAATATTTGAATATTTATTTCAAATATACATTGTCTTAAATGCTAGTATATTTTTGGTGACCCTAAACTTATAGCATTTTATATTTCATTGATTTCTTAAAAGAGGTCAGTACTCTACATTGTATGATTTTCTGTCATTGAGATGCTGCACAGTTTGTCCAAATCTGCACCAACTTGTGTCTAACATTGTAGTTTTTGGTATTGGTGGAGAACACTTCTGCTCATCTGCCAGTTGAATTGACGCTCTGTGTTGTTAGCAAGTTTATTCTGCTTTAGTCACCGAAGATGTGCTCAAAGTTGTGAAGCAATCTTTTTTATTTCGTCCAAACGACGACGTGGTGGCAGTTGGATTTTGGGGCTACCACTTAAGTGTTTTAATGAAGACAGAGATCTCGTAAAATAAATTGATTGTGTGGGATTGGACTCCTCCGATTGCTCTATGGCAGAGAATCACCATTGTCTGTGAGAACTCAACGTGAGCTAAAGAAACAAGGGTGGTGCATGAAATGATCAAAATGCGGATATAGTTGAGAATTCTTCACAGGATGTACATTTACTAACTTCTACGATAGGCAATTGTACGTTTGTTCTAAAATATGCTAATTTTGAGATCAGTGATGAGGTCCTAGTTAATCACCATATAAGAAAAAAAGTTCGGATATCCTTTTGAATGTAAGTGGTTTTCGAAAGGAATCAAGATTAACTGTCCTGTGACAAAGAAATGATTTTCTGTTGGTCGCTACTTGCTACACTCGAGTAAATGTCAACATAGAAAATGCCAAGTAATACTGGAGCGCATTACTGTGATCACGTTCTTAAATTAAAAATAAATACAACGTTAAGAAATCGGTTCGGCACAGTTGGCTACAATTTTTGCACTTTCCGGCCATACATATCCATGTAAACATCTAAACTGTTGGCCATAGCTAAACTCCTTCCAAATATGAATGTAGTTGAATTCAGGCTGATGCTGCTGGTGAACAATGCAAGATGTTGCCAGCTGCATAAGCCATTTTCTGCCTCGCTTTCCTCTGCTTGCCATTAGCATAATATTTAAGTGATGACTGTAGGCTCCGAGCGGCCTGTGAACTCCTCCATTTTCGAAAGCTTTAAAGCTACCTCCACCTGCAATCATATTAAAATGGTATTAAAAGGTGGAATTTTCAGCTGATTGCCATTTTCACCAGAATATAGAAATTCCGTCATATAAAAGACTCGCTAGACTTTGTCTTCAACGGATGGGCAGCTAGAAATATATCTAAAGAAAACATTTCGAAAAGGGATGAGAGCGTAAAAACTTACAAGAGGTGCCAACGCCTCGGCAGAGGGTTCGAATATCTTGGCAGGATCAGCTTCGTATTGCTCAATGTACAGACGAATCGTAGCGCCCACTGAACCAGTTCCAGAGAGACGGAACACCTACACAAGTACAGAACAGTAAAGCTGTATACCAACAAAAAAAAAAAAAGAGAAATATGAGAATCCTCTAGGAGATCCAAAACTCCAGAAAACATAGAATTGATGGCATATCACATCCTCGGAGGAACTTGAAATAAAATAAACTTCTACTAGAACACTGCTCTGATACCAGCATCTAACCCAGATGTCTCGTCTCACTTCCAAGAATGACGGGACTAACAAATTTTTCAATCTGAAAATAGAAATAGAAACGCACCAGCCGAGAACCATCCTTGAACAGGTAGCGGATACCCTGGTGGCTGGATATGGACTGGTCAACTGGATCCTTATACTCAAACTCGTCAGCTTCTTGAACCTCGGCAACATCAGGTCTAATCTCCTTGATCAAGCTGGGTCAGATCCACAAATCACACTCTGAGCAGAGTACAAAAATTACAAGCAAATTCAGAATTGCATTAATAAGCGACATTTCTCAACAGCCACCTGGACCACTACGGCTTGAATGCGCCACACAATAAACACGGAAATAAATTTGAGAAGCAGTGGCACAAAATGAGTGCGGAAGTTACTTGTTCACATCGCCAAGCTTTGATTGGAGATCAACAAGATGAGCCATGAGTTTCTTTGCATCATCGGAGTCCACATTCTGTCCGTGCCCAAGAGTGGTAAATCAGAGCAAATTCGAAGGTGGAAATTACTTGTCAATCATTTCGGTAAAAGTCAAATAATGAACTCAACAATTAGAAATAGAGAAAATCTAACCTCATAGTCGTAACGTGTATAATAATGACGACCATAAGTGTTCCAGTGTTCAGTGACAATCTCTTCCACTGTCACAAGCTTGTCACCACCAGCCTGCTTGTTCCTGTGAGCAAGGATAGAGAGCCATGCCAAAACGGCCCAAATTCCATCCTTCTCTCTAATGTGGTCAGAACCTGCAAGACCGTGCCATAGTTCAAAAAACAAAAACACCACTTAAACCTTTTAAACTACTCTCAAGTACATAAATCGCAGTTTATAAATGTCGTGAACCCAAGCAAACCATGAAAGAATAACCATTAATAAGATTAGTCCAACACAACTTTTTCAAACTGCAAGGCATTGACGATGAGGGATGCAATGAGCGTAGACCTGTTCCAAAACTCTCTTCACCGCACACCGAGCACATGCCTGCGTCCATGAGGTTACCAAAGAACTTCCATCCTGTTGGTACCTGGTATGGATTTCGGCCGGGTACAGACACACGTCATGAGCAAAGCGAATAGGCAGGAGCAAGTGATAAAAGAGTATGGCACTTCTAGTGTCACAATGAAACGAATATAGAGAACTAGACTATGCCGTAGTTTTGGATATCTTAAATAGTCATTATTACAACTCAACCAGTGTAACCAACCTCGAAAAACTCCAGGTTCAACTTCTTAGCCACCACATCCAGGGCAGCTGAAGTAGGCATACTCCTGCGAGAATAAGTCAACTCCACGACCTTAAACATTGAAGTACGATATGGAGGTATCAATACAAAATATCGGCAACATAAAACTGACTCGAATGACGAACCATAGCTGAATAGCCCACCTTGCAACTCCTTTCAGACCACCACTGAAATAGGGGATAGCCCCAACAGCATTAGCAGCAATGATAGCTACAGAGTCTGATGGAGTCACAAAGAACCTGCACTCAGAGCCAGATTGCAACACATACCTCAGTCACCAGGTGAGAACAAGCATTACAAAGAAAAAAAAACGGCGACACAAGAACATTGGAGAGCATCCAGCATTAATAAATCCTGCACCACAAACAGGAAACCCGTTTTTGTAAAGTGATCACGACTGGAGCAAAGCTAACACAGAATTAGCGGGATCAGGAATACAGAAATCACATCAACTTCCAGATAGATTAAGACAAGGAGTCGTAGATGGGAGCCCTGATCACATACTTCTTGCCCAAAATCATGTTTCGGTCAGCATCACCATCAGCAGCGGCACCGAATTCCGGAATCTCGTCAGGTTGAGTCTTGCCCAATCCCATAACTTGCACGAGTTCCTTAGCGTAGGTCAAATTGGGATCAGGGTGACCTCCACCGAAGTCTTCCTGCATATAAAATAGTTTGTTATTAAAGAAGCGTGGAGAAACTAAAAAAGTATTCGCCTGCACTGGAGATGTTTCTACCCAGCTAATTAAGTTAGCACAAGTTTATATCACGTAAAAAATGAGTTACAAAAAAGTACTACAGATTCTTTTGAAATATCGACATTGCATTAATCTACAAGGCAACATATCCAGGTGGCATTGGGCAGCCTCTACATGAATTTGGATCTTATGAACTTACCTTGGGTTCGCAATTCAACAGTGAGCTTTCCTTCGCTCCCAATTCCTCCAAGAAAATCTTCTTAGCATACACACCAGCAACGCCATGCAGTGCATCATAACTGGCCAAGCGATACGAGGCTTATTAATCTTGCCACTGATACAATTCGTTACCAAGAAGAAATATGACCACATGGTATCTCAAATGGTCAACCACCTGCATATCAACTCTGTTGATAGCGGGCCGTATAAAACATACCAGAAGCTGAACTTGGGGTTGGTAATCAAATCCTTGATCGCTGTGAAGTCGAAAATAGTCCTGAACATCAATTTCAATCATTCTTTGTTACGAGCCCATTGAGGAGGAAGGCTGAAGCAGGCTAAATCAAGCTCTGTTGATATGAAAAGACATTCAAGAAACAGTATAATCATATCAAGCATCTTCTATGGGTGAAGGAAAAAGAAAAACGGAGGGGAAAAAAAAAGAGAAAAAAAATGCTCACTTCATCAACTTCACATAGTCCTCAGTTGAGTCGAACACCTCTACATCAAAGGTGCCATCAGGTCCCTCAAAACTGGTAACACCAATCTTGGTGACGTCAACCTTGGGTCAAGAAATTGAGCGTCAGAATTTATAAATTCATCGATTGGAATTATGAAATTTGTATCGAACTTTTAAAAAATGGTCAAATAAGTACAACTCGACAGAGTAATTTTGCGTACGTTTGGGATGCCATCTGCGGTATGATATGCCGTGATTTTCTTGGTGTTTTCGTAGATTTTATTGGTCAAGCTTTCAGGAGCTGGGCCTCCGTTTTCACAATTGTACTTGATTCCAAAGTCCTGCGCAGATCGGCATATTCCAGTCCGCTTTCAGAACTCGGAAGTGACTTCACTGGAAAGCTGTTTCACAAATGAGGAAAATGAACTGAAGGTGAAAGCTTTTCAAGTTCTGTGGAAGCGGTAAAGATGGGTTACCTCGTCGGGACCACCGGGGTTGTGGCTGGCGGTCAGAATGAATGCACCGTACGCCTTTTCACCCTGAAAACCATCACATTACAGGAGTTAACGTAATGCATTATCCTACGAGGGTACAGACCAGAGTTAACACCGCTCATGTCAACCTCATTCTCCCAGCTTCAAATCATGGAATCAGAAAAAGACAAAATTATTGCAATTTGGTGATTGGAATTCTAAAGGATAGGATGATGAAAATCTGAGAACATCTTATCGACTTTAATCGTTTTTTTATCAAGTTAGCCATGTCCAAATGGCAGTTCAGCCCCTCCACTTACATGACTATTCACTCGCTCTCGGATGATTGCAGACACGGCAGGGGTGGAAAGAAGAGTGTTCTGCCCCACCCAGACCCTCTTTACGCCATTAGCTGCGGCAATTTTGATGATGATCTGCAACAATAAACACCTAATCAATAACACGCTGATGCCCATTCTGGCTCAATACCCAGTTCCACGAACTCATAGTGCTGTGTCAAATTAAACAAGATTTAGGAAATAGCTCCTCCGATCAATGGTCTCAACTTCAGAACGAAGAATCTCTGATAAATAAATGAATCACCAACCTGGATAGCTTCCGTTGACCAGTAACGGCCATCACCAGACACGACTATGTTGGAACCTGAGCGACACAGACAACAGACAATGCAAATGCTCTATTTAATAGATGAAATGAAACTTTGCAATATTCAGATTTAACACCACTCAACGATCCAAGGGAAAGGTTGTTGAATGGGTAAAACTAGAAATAGTATTAGGAACGCAAGGACACAGCTGCAGTTAGACATCAGCTTTTTGTTTCATTGTCCATCATGGTATCTCTGTGCAAATGATCCTTACAAAGCTGGCTTTTTGTATCATAATGAGTTCAGTGTATTCGAGGCCAACACAATTATCCTCCAGTAGGGTAGAATTAGTGGTGAACCTTTCACTTTGTCAGAAGGAAGGGCATCGAAGGTGGCTTGCACAAAGTTGGCAAGGTAATGGTCCTGCTTAAACACTGTCACCTGCGGATCCAATTTGAATAAGCTTAAATGCGAGTTAAATCAGACTGAAATTGTAGTACAGAGTACAAATATGAATAACCGCAACGCAAAAATAGTACATAGCCTATAGTCCTCTGTAACACTTCTTTATCATCTCAATTTTTCTTCGACAATATAACTTTTAAAAACAAAATATAAGTGTCTCTGGGAACTGTATGGATCGGACTGGTGCTGTACATATTGAAGTGACATGGCTACAGCACAATAGGGATTTGTAATAAGGATTATCTTCCTCGTTTAAACAAGCTGATATACAGGCGAGTCACAGCAAGGGAAAGTAGTCAAAATTGTTCGTATGCACCTTCTTACGCAAACCAGAGGTACCAGGCTTTTGGCCATCGATCGCCTTAGTCTCCTGCTTCACAACTTTAAAGAGCACCATCCTTCAAGCTCTGCACAATAAAGGAACGGGATCCATTCCAAATCAGTACACATCCACTCAAAGAATGTGTTCTCGGAGAATCCACGATCCCTCGCTACAAAACCTCACTACACCTGCCCTACCCAATTATATCCCCAACATCAATCGGTACCTCAATTCGACCCAAAATCTCCCGATGCAAAATGTTAATAGAAACGCCGACACACAATGTTCTCATATGCATCCTCAAAACATCACAAAGCTCTCACAGATCTGCCATAACCCCACGCCCTTAATACCTCCGATCGGTCCACCAATTAACCCTTTAACACCAAACGCCGAACACCCACAAAAATGGCTAATCAAGTTCTCAAAACACCCAAAATGCTCAAAACGCCAAGATCTGAGCATAACAATCACAATGTGCCACCCAACTTACAAGTATTCGGATCTAGAAATGCGTCGTTGGTGTCACAACCAGAGAAAACAAGCTGATCAGCAAGAGAGTGCACTTTTCAACCCCACTGGTAGCAGGGAGAGGGATAGTCTAAGTGTGGCCTCGATCGATCTGGCTCTAGAGCAGGCCAGAAGATCTAATGCACGACGATGGATGTAGCGATCCGCTGATCGATCAATGGCAAGACAATGGTGATTGCTCATGCAGTGACGCGTGTTGGTGGGATCGTGAGCTGACATTCCCACAAATCTAGGCCAGAATTTCGGCCCCTCCCTATCAGTCTCTTTCTACCCCCAAACAACAGTCAATAATGTCCATCGATGGCGCATCTCAAAAGCTTCGATCCTAATGTGCCACAAAATAATCCAGACTCCATTTTCAGGGCTCTGCACTGATGACGCTTGTGATGAATATTATTTTTGTCTTCGAATGTGTAGCTTTATCGCTTCCTCAAGTTCGATCAGATATAGCTGTGCATAGGTTGAGATTGTGGCAAGATTTACTTGGCAGGACAGATCACCGGTGGCGATTTTCGGCAATCGATGGCTGTCCTTGTTCGTTGCCTCATCTGCAAGCAAAGTGTCCAGTATGGACCCAAAAATTGAAGTGGTGTTGCCGATTCTACTTTCGATGTACTGCCCAAGAAAAACTATATATCCCACAAATATATGTCCTTGAATGTTGACTCCATATTTCACATTCTAATCCAAAAAGAAAAAAATAATGATCGTGTGATAAATCTAGTATTTTGTTAATGAAACAGTTTGTAAGATGCATGTTACCAGTCCTTTTTGCCTGATGTGTTGGAATGATTGGAAACTGTTTAGCATAAAAAATCTGTGTAAAAGGTAATGACAAAAGAATCAGATGCACAAGGTCAGATATTTTATCGTGCCAACAAGTCACATGTACATAAAGATACATAAATATAAATATGAGTCTTGATCGATTGGCAACAAACAAGCCACTGCTTTCAATGAGCCTTTAAGTGAGGAGATGTGCATTTTGGTCACTGAAGCAATGGCTAGCTGCTTCCCGTCGCATGACAGGCTTGCTTCTTCCTTCGGCCAGTGCACATGGGTGAGAAACAACAAATAGCAAGCACTGCGACAACTGTGTTTCATGCTTGGAAATCTGATAATCACCATTATTTCTGTACACAAGGGTGTACTAAAGATGTATGGTCAGTGTTTCTCACGACACAAGTGACCATCCATCGTATTTTTAGACCCAGAAGCTATTATTGCTCATTGCGCACTTTCCAAATGGAGAACAGGTATATTGCGTGATCACTGCAAAAAAATGTGCACATCTTGGGTAAGTTCCAAGTGCCCTATTTAAAACAAGGGGATGACATAGAATGTTACAGCGTAGAAACATAACTCTATTCGTCGAGCAAGCTGAAGGATATCCGCAGTTGAGGAATTGGCATGCTGCTTTCAGTTTGTTGCACTGTGAATATTATCATGCCCTGCATACGAACTCTCTACAGAAGGAACCACGTACACATTGAGCATACAAGTAGACATTGACAACGCGCAAGGTTGGTCACTTGCCGTGCATGACTTCATGGTAAAATACGTCATGCACGGTCAAGGCATAATCACAAGTGTCATAAATTAGTGAAATAGTTAATGATTAACCTGCAGCTACCTGTGATTAGTTGCATTTCCGAATTTGGACAGGAAACTTACACTGCACCCGTGTTTTGGACAAAATGAGCGCTCAAGTTCCCTGTTTCACACTTAACCTCAAGTGATGCTGCACACATGATCTAAAATACACAAGGCTGCATGTTACTGAGGGAAAGAGATTCTGTAACGATTCAGGTTATCACCTATTCTTGCATGCCTCCTCAAATGATGAGTGGAATTGCAAACTTGTCATGGGGAACTATCCCATACACCAAAGCACATGCCTGTTTTAAGACTACCAATACAGTTGGGAAATACTGCATGAGAAAATGGAAGGGCAATTGAAAGGCATAAGCGCCGAGAGAAACTTTACACGTATTAAATGTACTTATAATCTGAGTAATTTAATAGATTTCATCATCGGGAATCTCAGGAGTTAAGAACTTCCTAGGATCCTCCAGAGCAGCTAAATTTTCCTGGCGAGGTTTCACCCGTTCAGGTACTTGAGGCAATTCATTAATAGCAATAGTTGCATCCTTGTCAATAACTCCGTCAATCATCCCGTACTCCATCGCTTCAATAGGAGACATGTATCGATCCCTATCAATGTCCTTTTCTACCTGGAGATACAAAAGATACAATCTCAACGCGAAAACCAAATTTCACCCACATCGGTGTTCTCCGTTCAGGATTTTGACACAATTCACGAGATTGCCACAATGTGCAATGTGCTTGAACTAGCACCCTTGAGGGCTTGATAGCCACACTAGCTCACTGACGCCCAAGCAAGTAAAAACAGCTACTTTGTGCAGACAAAAAAATTGAAGAGAGCTAAGACGCATACCTGCTCAATAGACCGCCCCGTAATCTCGGATAAAATACGAATGACGTTACTCTTATGGTACATGACCTCCTTAGCTTGGATTTCAACATCAATTGCCTGCCCACTAGCACCTCCCATGGGCTGATGCATCATGATGCGAGAGTTAGGCATCGCCAGTCGCTTCCCCTTCGTACCTGCTGCGAGTAGTAACGCGGCTGTTGAAGCCGCAAAGCCGAAGCAAATCGTAGAAATATCACACTTACACAGCTGCATGGCATCAAAGATACCCATGGCAGCACTGCAAAAAACAGAAAAGGAAAAAATAAAACAAAATGAGAATGAAAAAACACAACCAGAGCCACACGCAGAGGGCTAAATTCAGCATCAGGGACACTGCAACGTTCAGCAATTCACATTAAAACCCTAAAATTTAACCGCACTGAAGCAGCAATTCGCACCCAAAAGAACGAGAACTATTAACGTAACCCAAATACCTGATAGAACCCCCCGGACAATTGATAAAAAGACGAATGTCCTGCTTAGGGTCGATGGCGTCCAGGAGCAGCAACTGGCTGATAATGGAGTCAGCCACAAAATCGTCCATCTGATTACCGAGGAACACAATCCGCTGCTTCAGCATGAGACCCATCACGTCTCCCTCAGCTGATTGCATGGCCTGAGGCGCGGCCTGCGACGCCATGGGCGTCCACAAGGAGCTCTCCGCAGGACGGCCATCGGCCTCGAACAACCAGGAAGACGATGAAGGCGCGCCACCACTCGCGGATGCCCGAGGACTCAATCGCGCGAGCCGAGCGGGAGCGACACACGAGGCGCGCTTGGCGAGGGAATTGGACGTCGCCGAGGAGCCTGCTGTCGATGCCAGCGAGGAGCCTGGCAGCACAAACTTGCTGGTGAACGTGGTGGCCATGGACATCGCCATAGCTCCCCTCCCTCCCTCCTTCTCTCTCCGATTGTGTGCCTCTCTACTCCGTCCCCTTCTTCGTGCCCAATTCTACCGCAATTCCACCACACTCACCTCGCCTGCCCCTCCTCCCCGATGTGGATAGACTTCTTCATGCGTTCCCGTTTCTAGGGTTTCGGTTGCTTTGCGTGGGTTTAGGGGCTCGGTGTGAACGCGTTTCGCTGGATCGCTATCTCTCTCTCTCTCTCTATATATATATATATATATATATCTGTGTCTCTGTTTCTCTCTCCAGAGTGAAGGCTTTTGTTTATAAAAACTTATTTCTATCTTTTAATATTATAATAAAGTGCAGTAAAAAATCTAAACTGATTTTAATACTACTTAATGTAATATAATTATAAATTGATATGTAATTTTTAAATTTATGACAAATCAATAAATTTAAAGTGATACAAATTAGAAATAAATACATTAAAAAAGAGAGAGAATGATTTTATTTTATTTTATTTCTTAAAAGAAAAAGATATATAATATGATTTTTTATGGTAAGATGTTTATATAAACTTATTTCTATCTTTCAATATTATAAAATGACAAATTTTTGATTTAGGTATAGAAAAGTTAATACAATTTGAATTGTAACAAATAAGATTCATATTTTGCACAAAAGAAATTCTTTAATATTATTATTTGCATCACAATTTCAATAACTTCCAAATAATATTAAGTGGAATGATGTTGCATTTGTCAACAAATTTCTCTATAGATTGTAATATGAGATTAAAAAAAATTAATGCCACACTTATCTAATCCTTTGTCAAGGATATGAACTGAAAAAGATGCATAAACTTCAAAAATTTGTGTCAAAAGAAAAGTGAAAAAATAGAAATAAAAAAGTATGTATATTAAAATGAAACTAGAATGGCTATTACCAAAAGACAAGGAAACTAGAGACTCTTGAATCTAGACTAGAAGCAAAAAAAGAGTTGACAAGAGTGAAGAGGGCTTCAATTTTGCCTCTATATACATTATATAACTGGGAGCTATCTAGCAATGTTCTATGCGACCTCTAATATGTGTTGACTTTGTAAGACACATGCCTTTGCTTATAAGGCAAATTTTTTACCTGTGCTACACAAAGTTAGATTGTTTTTTAAGCTACCAAAATATGTGGCACACGACTAACTTGTTGACCTTGTTTATAATCTAAAAAGTCAATTATAGACACCTTCAAAATGAAAGTATTGTCTATGAAGCTTCTAGAAAGTTTCTATAAAATATTATGGAATTAACTTACTTTTATTTACTTTTATCTAATCATGTTGGTAATTATTTGTTTACATGTATATATCCGTGAAATCCTCAAATGTTGAGTCAAGCAATTAATTTTATTGTAAAGTATAATAATTGGTTATTTAAATTTTGATTTGAGAGCCCCACAAATGTACCTTAATATCTTTACATTTCAATAGCAATACCAATATCTTATCAACACATATATTTAAAAATTAAAGACATGCAAATTGATGTAGTATGTTTTAAATCTATCATTGACTAAGCGAAATCTGAATGTTGTTAAGAATTACTATGTTTATATTATAGAGCATCTAAATACATTGTTCAACATTGTCCAAAAAAGAAATACAACTATAGATTGAAGAATATAAATATCAAAGAAGATAATATGATGGAAAATGAGATTCTCTAACTAAAGTAGAGATTATACAATTAGAATCTTGTAAAATATCTAATAGACGCTTATCCTATTCTCAAAAACATCTCTTTGTTCTTTAATAGATTTTTGTTTAGAACCTAAAAATTACAAAGCCTCTACCTTATTAGATGTATGAGCCTTTAGTTGTTTTATATATGAAAACTTTGCTAAAAGATATAATATATTCTTAGTAATAAAAACTAAATCATTGCATAGAGATGTTATAAATATTTATTTTTTAACTTCTCTATTATTCTCTATAATTCTCAAATAAATTAGACTTCTTATAATTTTGATTTTTTTTCATAACATAATTAAAAATTTTCTTATCTAAGTAGAAAGTCACAAGTCAAAATTCTTATTGGTTGATATATGAAATTTTATGCATGTTGTATAAGAAATGTTACAACTTTCTATTTATGTAATATCCAATTTAGATGATGGAAAGACTTTAAGTGGTATTTTTAATTAATATCAAAATTATCAAGTTATTTTTTTGAAAATCAAAATGTAAATATTCTTCTAATACATCTTTCTTATGATTGCTTAATTGATCTTCAAGAAAAAATTCATCCATCATTTAGACTAATCTATAGCTTATCACAAAACAAGTTGACTACACTCAAAAAATACATTAAGAAGAACCTTGTTAAGAATTACATGAGTAATTCAAAATCTCTAATAGGAATTTTTTTCTTGATTGTAAAGAAAGAAGATGGATCTCTATAAATGTGATTAAATTATCAAAGATTCAAGAAGATAACCATCAAAAATAGGTATCCTCTACCTTTGATATCAAAACTTCTTGGAAAACTAAGAAAACAAAAATCTGTATTATAAATCATCAAATCAACTTACAAGTTGTTTTAGGAAAAAAGAGTATTATAAGAGTATCAATTGCTAAGTATTAGTTCTAGAAAAGTGGAGAAATTGCTAAACAAAAGCAAAATAAAGTTAGTAAATTAATTCTAGTTATATATAGGAATTCTAGTAGAAAATTTCAATTTTTAGAGGGCATTTTAGAAGGTATTCAATTAGCATATTTTTAGTATCTTAGGAACATCTAGACAAAATTTAGAATAGTCAAAATTTTAATATAATCTAGGTTCAATTACTATACAATATATGATATACGGATTAACATATAAGATATCATATGGAGGCCAAGAACTTTCTAATATAAGATACTAGAGAATACAAGGATAGTATAAATACAGACAAAATACAGTCAAAATACCAGCTAGATATGGTATGTGTAAGGCTAGACAATATGTATGGATTACAAATACTATATGGAACGTATAGCATATAAAATACGATATGGTGAGAAGATTGTATGTCTATCAGAACCATAATGTGTCCAGCATACGTTATACGGCAGTGCAGTGTATGTATACCTGGATATCTTTCGGGTATCATCCTGCCTTGATCTGCGGCAGCTTCTTGATGATAGGGGTCCGGGCCACCCTAGATCCCTCTCTGTTTTTTTTCTTTTATTTATTTGTTTATTTATTTATTTTTCTGTCTCGAGGACTTGAAAGCTCCGTGTAATTTGGTGTTGCGGTTAGAGGCTCGGTGAGCTTAGGGCGTTATTACAGCATCGTGCGTTGCGGCGGTGCTGGAATTACAAGCTGTCGTACTAGCTATTTTTTGCGTTTTTTTTTTATCGTCTTGGTCGGCAGTGGATTGGCGAAGTCGTCTTAGAATTGATGCAGCGTTGAAATAGTCCGCCCAACGGCTGGACGACGAAGGACGGATCTTAGTGGGTGTGCTTCCTGCCGCACGGAGGCAAAAATCGTGTTGAAGTGTGCGGTGGAAGGGAGCAGCGCAGACCTCTGGGCAATAGTGCGTACGTGAGCGCATTAGTGTATCGCTCACATTGGTGTAGAGCCAGGGAGCAACGGTGTTGCCTTGGTGGTTTTTGTTATGCGATATTGTGGATATCGGTATTGGGGCTACAGTGGCACTGGTGCAGTATTTTGAAGTCGCGACAAAACAGGGATATTAGAATTTAGTAATTCATCTAATGGGAGTAGCAAAATTCGAGGGTGCAAGGCACCCATCCTCTTTGGCGGCTGGAGTCAAGATCCTTAGTTGTTGTTTTTTCCCTTCTACGTTTTTGGATGTGGTTTAAGCAGCTAGCCCTGACCCTTCCGGTTTCCTTGCTCTTGAGCTCTTAGAGCAGCAGTTGTGATTGGAGCGGCAGCTACAGGCATTGGTCCTGATTTGATTATGTTATTTCATTCCCTCGCTCTTATCATCTGTTCTGGATTCATATCTTCAACGTGCTTGGTTCCTTTGGTGTCGTGGCCTGGAGCTTCGGCAGTTATGTAGTGTTCGTTTTCCTCGGCTGCTGCGAGGGATCCAGTGGTGTCTTTTCTCTATTCTGTTTTGTTCGGGTTTTTAAGGTCTGAAAATTTCGGCGTGGCTATAGTCGCTGGGGTTCACATTGATGACCTTGCGGTCGACGGTGCGGTGGTGATGGACAATTTCATCATTGCTGGAGTTGGTGATCAAGACCATCCTCCTCTTTTGTTGGTTGATCGCGGTACCTGCGGCGGGCCAAGGAAGGTTTGCTGTAGCAGTCTACGGCTGGGACTTTGTTGTCTCCAACTTCACGGTGCCTTTGAACCTTGATTGTAGTGCCGTCAATTTTGTACTTTTGGTGTTATCAACATTGACGGTGGCTGCGAAGATAGCATGGAGGCACTCTGATATCATCCAGTTCCTCGGCGGAATCAGGGTGGGTGCATTGGGACTCATTCCTAGTAGCGACTTGCTGATGCTAATTTTTTATTATACAATTAAATAAAAAGGGAAAAATATATAATATAAAACATCATAAAAACAATTTTCTCTTAAGCGTGTGTGGTTTTTGTATTGTTGTATGGCTTACAAGTAAAGATTGTTTAAACTTGCGAAAATACTTACTTCTTTAATAAATTTTTTATTAAGTTCAATATCTATTTTTTAAATTACACACAAAAGTCTTGATTACTTTGATTTATAAACTTCTCCATAAATTGCTTCATTTATATATTCTAAAATTTTAAGATCCTTTGTATTTGACAATAGTATTAAATCTATATCTTTTTTGCAATACAAGTCTTCCAATTTTTATTGTAAATATTATGTTAATCCATACTATTTGAAATTATTTTTTTCATTTATATACATCAACTTTTCATATAATAATTTAAAATTTTCTTCTATTTCATCACAAGTTACAACATGTCACAAACATACATATTTATTTTAATAATTACCTATATAATTTAATAGAAATATATAAAAATAAATTAATTTCATAATATCTTCTAGATGAGCTTCTTAAAAGCTTTATGAATGCTGCTTTGGCTTTACATGCATTTGTAATTAATTGATAGGCTAGAAATTCAGTCAACAAGTTAGTCATAT